TTTTGCAAACTGCAACTCTATGAGCTTTGAATTCTTAATGGACTTCTGAATGGTTTCTCGAAGTTGTTAACAAGATTGTTTTCCCGTAAGTTCCCTATCGATAGAATTTTGTCCCACGTGCGTAACAAAAGTTTTAACTTTTGTTTCCATAAGAATACTTATCAACAAAACTAATTACGTCATTTATAGTAGCTGATACCTAAAAAGTAGCTGAAACCAATTTTCTCGACCAATTTGATATTGATTATCCGAACTCTCCCAAATCACTGTAAAGACTCCATGTTGACCAAATGTTTTGGGCCGCAATTTTTGAAAAAACAGGCCAAAAAAATTGGGTTGTTGGTGGACACTTTTTGGTCAATTTTGGAACAATTTTGTCTGGGAACCAAATGTCTTGATCACTTTTTGAATTTCGGACAGTTTTGTCCGGGTCATGTCTTGGACACAATTGTCCAGACACGAGTTGTATATCTGCCTCGTCCGGGTTCAGAGGTAGGTCGGTTTTGGGTAGCTTGCTGATTGACAATTAACCGTAATTAACTGAAGTTACAAGTCAGCAAAAAATGACAAATTGCCGTATATTTCAGCAATTGAAATCAGATTCAATGACATAATATATGCAGAAAATTCGAAAGTCACGACCTTGGTTTTGCTTCGGTTAATTCGAGTGAGGAGAAGTTGTTTTATTAATGGTCGTTTAGAGGGTGAAAATAGTTTTTGATGAGGTTTTGTTCTAGGGAGGGTAACAATTTGGAGTAAGCTTTGTTTGTTTGTAAATTTTTTGTAGCTTTAAATATCTAAATATCTTGTGACACTTTTTTCGACTCAATTGAAGTCTATCCAAGCATTGTCTGACTAATGTATTTTCACCACTAGTGTATTTCGGTGCCGAGGGTTCCTTTAGAAAAATTGTGCGGTCAGCCAAAAATGGATATCTCCAAATAGTACAAAGAAGGGACGCTTTAGCAGGGGGTCGAATCCCTGAGGGGGGAGGCGTCCGCCCCTCCTCCTAAATCCGCTGATGCCTTTCATCGGGAAAGCTTTTAACCTTTTCTATCTGCTATCTCCACTCCTGTAAGTAAAACAACAAACTAGCGGAAGCTTTTTGTGAAAATTTTAATTTTGCTGGATTCTGACTGGTTGAGAGTTCTCTGATTTAAATTACTTGAAGGGGAGGGGTGGTGGAGTGGGGAGGTTGTTAAATAAATTCAACGGTTTCCTTTAGGCTCAGTTTTAATACTGGCTTAGTAATCATTTGTTCAGTTTGGGAGAGAGTTCTCAGTGACTTGATGCAGTACCACCAAATTCTGCGCAAGAGAGACGAGAACCTCAAAAAGTGGGAGCAACGCAAGCTGTTTTACTCCGAATTGAGACATCTTTTGTCAAATTACGTCAGCTCTCAGGAAAACAAAGAATTCACGGTTGCGCCTCATATTATGCGAGATGTGAACAAACTGAAACCAGTGCGGATGAGAGCTGAAGATCAAAATGTTAACATGCATGCTCCTGGTTGCTCGCACCACAATTAAAATTGGCATATAATATTTGCAATAAAAATTATTCTAGAAAAGGTTATATTTGTTATTAAGACCACAATAATGTGAAAAACTTGAGATCACGTATCATGAAGGTTTATATATATATATTTTTCAATACCTTAAAACTTATCCTAAGAAATCTAGCAAATATTTGCATCAAGAAATATTTAAAGATTCTCTGATTTGACATCAAAAACAGTTTGAAATTCTCTGATTTGAGATTCAACTCAAAAAGTTGAAAGCGAATATATAATTTTCTTTGTTAGTTTTGGTAAATTAAAAATTTGTTAACAAAAAATTAAACTTAAGTCCTTTCCCCTTCTTATTATTTTTTAAAATTTCAGTTGCTGTTTCAAGCAAAAGCGCGGGCCGATGTTGTGGTTAAGGTGGCGTCCCTCATGCTTGAAGGACCGAATGCTTGAAATTAATTTTAGCTTGCTTTCAGCCAATCAAAATTGAGTATTCAAAATCTCAAACTAAATCACAAAAATCTCAAAGTAAGAAAATAAAGTCAGGTCATTAGTGTTATTATTGACCGATTAGATAATAAATAGATAAGTTTTCAAGACTGAAATTTTTTAAATTATTTTGAACTCATTAATCTTGATGATTGCCTGAATAGTAATGCGGTTGTAACCCGCAATTTGTAATATTTTTGATTAATTTCCACTGATTTAATACATTTTCTGTTGATATTGACTTCGATTTTGTGAGAAGGGCGTTTAGCCAATAGAAACGCTTAGCGATTTTGATTGGTTGAAACTTTTTAAGCATTCGGTCCTTCAAGCATGAGAACCCTCCCCTGTGGTTAAGATTATTGCGATTATGATAAGACTATAATGACCGAAGGGGAGGGTTCTCATGCTTGAAGGACCGAATGCTTGAAAAACTTCAACCAATCAAAATCGCTAAGCGTTTCTATTGGCTAAATGCCTTTCTCACAAAATCGAAGTCAATATTAACAGAAAACTTATTAAATCAGAGGAAAATAATCAAAAATACCACAAATTGCGGAATACAACGGCATTACTATTCAGATAATCATCAAGATTAATGAGTTCAAAATCATAAGAATTTTTCCAGTCTTGAAAACTCATCTGCTTATTATCTAATCGGTCAATATTAACACTAATGGCCTGGAATTACTTTGAGATTTTCGCGATTTCCTTCAAGATTTTGAATACTCAATTCTGATTGACTGAAAGAAAGCTAAAATTAATTTTAAGCATTCGGTCCTTCAAGCATGAGGGACGCCAGTGGCCGAACTTTGATCTTTGCACACCATCGCGACCAAAATAAGGTAATTCAAATTTTGCAGACCGAGAAACCGAAGCGAACAAAAAAAACTAAACGCGACCGGCACAACTTCGAACGAGTTGCATTTTTGCTAGAAATTGGATGCTCACTCGTTTTGATGTCAGGTCTTCAAAAACTAGTGTGGAACTTTGTATTCGCGTGTGTTTTAATTTTTTTTCCACGCAAAATCAGGTACCAGAAATAATCATCGAACTGGGTTGAATGATACATCATATTAAAGTCCTTTTAATTGTGATTCGAACCACATTTAAAAATTTCAAAAAATTTTTCCCAGTGTTGAGAAAAACCGTTTAAAAATTTTTGCTTTTTCGTCTTATTTCGAGCGAACAAAGCGAGCGAGCAGTTTTTTTTATTGATTAATTGCTCAAAAGCTTACAAGAGACTTTTTCAAACGTAAATTAATAATTTCACTTGGGTAACTTTAGTTTACATTGAGTATTTTAGCGCCTTTTTGGGATCGATTTTTTCATAAATCCAAAAAACTTCAAAAAATTTAAAAAATCTTCGAAAGTTTTTTTGTTTTTTTTTCTTCGTTTTTTGGTAGTTTCTCTACATTTCTTTTCAATTTGTTTATATAGTATGGCTGTCAAATGTACCTAGCCCCCAGATTTTTTTCAGCTCTTTTTATCACACCACGCCGGGAAACTCTTTCTAATTTCCACGAGAAATCGGGAACAACAAATATTTATCGGACTGGGTTGAGTGATTTATCAAATTTAAGCCCTTTCAATCGTGATTCAAACCACATTCTAATTTTCCCAAAAAAAATTTTGTGTTGAGAAAAACTTATCTGAAGATTTTGGCTTTTGGTCTTATTTCGATCGAGTAAAGGCAGCTAGCAGGCTTTAAATAGCTGATTTATGCTTAATTTAAGCCACAAAAACTTAGTTTCAGGCAAGTAAAAATAATTTCCACATTTTTTATTTTATTACAATTTTTTCTAATCCGTTTTCTGCCAAAAGTCGTGTCCAATTTGCTTGTTCTACTATGACTGACGAATATGCTTTAGTTGTACTTTTGCGTTCAAATCACACCGCGTAGAAAAAATAGACACTATTCTGAAAAAAAAACTTTTTTTTTTGAACTTTGTTAGTATATGGCCGGAACACTGTGCTATTTGCACAGTAACCGCCTATCCTTGTCTTACTTGTAAATGTCGGTTCTCTGACTTGTGTTCAAGATCATAGCTTTACAAGTACGCGACTTACTACTGCAACTCATTTTCAGACCATACTGGGACTAATTTTCAGACTACCTCGAAAAATTTTCTGACTAGTCCACCAAAATTCCATATATTGAAGGTTTTTCCGCAATTTTCAAAAAACTATTCAGACTGAATTTGAAAAAAATCAATAAAAAAATTAGCGGACCTAAACTTGGGAACTGTGGACTGCACATTCTGTGCTACTTGGGCACCAAACGACTATTTTGCTTCACTTTTTTTGCTTCAGTAGGTGTTCATTAAGTCAAAAAACTTTTTTGCACATATTTTTGTTCAATATTGAAAACCATCTGATTTGGTTGGGTACTTATTATTTAATTTTAGCCAAGTTCATTCATATAGACACGCATGCTAATTCCAACAAATGCAAATAGGCCGGTCTCCTTGTAGCTTGATGGTAAGGAGCGCAGAAAATATCCTCTCAACCGGAAATATAACCAGCGCCGATTTCATGAAAAAAGAAGGTGATATCGTCACCAAGTCTGTATTAGGATTTCAAGTTTCCAACTTTTTCAAGTCAAACTGAAATTTCACTCCGTTTGATATTTATGGCTGGTCTTTCTTTAAAGTCTACCCTAAAAACGGAGTTATTCCTGATATTAAACACAGTTAAACTATATTTTACTGCGTTTATACGCCATAAAATTACATTAAAAAATGATGTAATTGTTTTTTGATGCAAAGTTTTATTAGATTTAGAAGGATAAAATTCGAATCATTGGAAGACTTTGATTTTAAAACCGCCACAAGCCGCCATTATTAAAATTATAATACCTTTTATGGATTATAGCACAACTCTATGAAAAATGGAATGTATCGAAATCAAACAACGCTATCCAGGAAAAACAATCACAAAAATCTCTCTGATACAAACGGATGGATTAGAATCCGGGAAATTCATAAATCTGAATACGTCTCTTTATTCTACTTCTGGTCTTTTTCTTTGATTTTCTTTTGATTCAATTTGTCAATAACAATAATCATCATTAGCAAGACTGACTTCAAAAACCAATCGTAATAAATAGGGTTTAGTAATTCGTGACGCTTGAAAAACAATTGTTTTATGGAAATCCAACATCCCGCCAGCGATTGAAATTGGCTTACAGAAAGTTGAATTGAAAATGACTGCTTCTTTGCCTGTTTTCGAGAAGTTATTTCTCTTGCTACTTCAAATGTAAGTGTTTTTTTAAACATGATCCCAAGTTTCATAAAGTAAAAGTAGCCAGTTGTTGTGCAAAAAGCACAGAATTCCCAGACTGCAAAAAATATAACAGTGAAAGATATCAAAAAAGTATCAAGAAAAGATCAATTTCTTTTCCAATTTCGATTTTTGCTGAGATTTTTCATTTTTCGATAGAGATTCATAAGATAATTCAAGATTTTGAGTTTTAAAACTTGAAATAGCAGCAAAAGTTTAAACTAAGAACGCGAAAAAGTTGTCCTTTTTAAAGGCTAATGGGCGCACCATCTTTTTATTTAGTTAAGTTTTTAGAGTGTTTTCTGGAAAAAAATTAAACTTTCTGTACTGTTTGAAATTTAATTTTCCAAAAATTTCCGAGAATTATTCGCCAAATGAAAAGCTAATTTCACACGTCAAATTTTTTTAATTTTAGAATCCCAACTTTTTCAAAATAAATCAGCTCTGGCACAAAAAAAAGTCATTCAATCGTCAAAAGCGAGCGTGGGACTTGATATGGACTGTTTCGCGGAACTACTAAGCAAAAAATAATGAATAAATCACCTTGCGTTCTATTGTCACTTTTAATAATTGCGACAAATTGTCGCTTGCGATGAATTGTCGCCGTACCGTTTTTACACCATTTTTTCTATTACACCAATTTTTTGTCCACTCTTTTGAGAATTTTATTAGACAGGAAAAAATGTGAATGGTACTTTCGTGATTACAAAACAAATATTCGGTTAATTGTGTTTCAAAAGCTCTCGAAAGTTAAAGATCAAAAGTGGTATCACATTGACACCGAATAAGTCGGAATTGTTTAATTTTCCATAAAAAACTATTTTGAGATATAACTTTTTTAACGAAAACATAATAGATTTAGACAGTGAATTTTGAGCGGTTAACGTCGGGGAACACTTTTCTTGGAACACTTTATTTTTGATCTCAGTAGTTTTTTGTACGCCAAGACAAAAAATTCAAAAACCCAGTGTCCTTTAGAAGTAATTAGTTTTGAACTTACTATCATTCTCAAAAAAAGTATGTCCCAGGGCGGGGTTTTTGTCGCAAAACTGGGTTCCACTATATGATGTCTTACGAAGTCGAGTGATAAATCAAATTTAAGCTTCTTCAGCCATGAGTCTGATAAAAAAATTTCAAATTATTGAGAAAAACAGGTATGAATTTTCTGTGTTTTGAATAATTACTCGGGATGGCTAAAAAAGCTTTGCATCACAGAGTGGACCTATTCTTTCCGACCAGTAAAAGTGGGGAGGAACAGTGTTTTAGAGTGAGCTTAAGATTGTTTCGTTTTTTTCTCAGTGAGGTAAGAGTTGCTAGCAAAAATTATCTTCCAATGGATTGGGTGATGTATCAGTTGAAGCAATTTCGGTCGTGATTCAAAAAATTTGAAAAGTTAACAGTGGTGAAAAAATTGGTTTGAGATTTTTTAATCATCGACTAACTGCGGGCGATAAAAGTGAGCGAGAAGGCTTACAGCAGGGCAATAAACATTGAAAAAAACTTGAAAACTTGCTTTCACTCCAATTAAATAAATTTTTGCGCAATTTCGGAAAAGCAGTTTTGTTTATTTTCACACAAAGTTTCTACATCAAAAAATTTTTAGAAAATTTTTTGTTGAGTTAATTTCCTTGTTTACTCTTCAATTTTCGAAAACATAAATGCACAAAAATTTTGCAAGATATTTATCAATTATTGATAGTATCTGGAATGCCTAATCATTCGGATTTTTTTCGAATCTTTTCATCAAACTACGGTAAAAACGACAGAAGTAGGAAAACATGCTCATTTATTTTCGTTTTCTTATTGCTGTAGTCAAAATATTTTTTTTGCTTCAAGCACAACTGCCGGTTGTCCTTGCTTCGGTTTTGCAACCTTACTAGAAATAATTTCATCTGTTTGTATTTGAAATGATTTTTCATATTTTTCTCCTCAAGTATCCACACGAGTGGTTTCTCGGGTTGCGTGCGTTTAGTCTTTTTGATGACAGTCGGAGCATACTCTTTAAGTCGACGCCTCCAGAAGCTGTAAAGTCTATCTTTCTCTCGCTTCCAGGACTTGTTGGACAGTTTACCGGTAGATACTTTGTTGAAGGCTGCTGCCGGAGCGTAGACGAATGGACGACCCATTGGGAAGTGAATGTGTGTCGTCGGTAAGGTCAATACTGACATGCGTTAGCGAGGTGAGTTGAGGATTGCCTCAGTTTCGGCTACGATAGTAGCAAATAGATCTCTGGATAGTCAATCAGAACCAAGGTTTAGTAAGAACTGTCGTGTTATCATTAAGACGAGTCGCTCCCATGCGTCATTAAAAAAGGGTGCTGACAAAGGATATAGGCGCCATTCGACTTTGTGAATTTGTTGCGTTTCACTTTGGGTGGTTTCGTTGAAGTTAATTGGTTCTGAGCGTGGTTGCTTACTGGCGCCGACGAAGTAAGTAGTCTTGTCAAAGGTTAAAAGCTTAGTTGTGGCTTTCCTAGCAATGAATCGTTTAATTGCCGTTATGCAGTTGTTCATAGTAAGATTTTCTGTCATTTCCAGATGAACCGCGCGAGTGGAGGGGCATGCGAAGAGTCAAAATTAGCTTTTTCAATATCTTTTCTTGTGATGTAGAATGGCCCTATGTAATCAATATCTGTAATTTTGAACGGAAATGGATCATCAAACGGATAGTCGAATTGAGTCGGCGGCAAGTCGACCATGATTGGATGTAACCCTCTGCCTTGGAATCTTCTGCAGAGTAAGCAATTATGTCTTATCTGTCTGAGCATTTTTCGGAGCCCAAAGATGACAAAGCTTTTTTGGCAGGTAGTTGCGAACGTACTCAGTGCATTGATGCGTACAGCGGCAATGAGCGCTCTCGATCATCATGCGCCCAATTGATTCCTTTGCTTTCTGCTTTCAGGTCATTGAATGCTTTGTTGCGTCCGGTAAAAGTGAGTTTCGAAATTACTATTGCGCGTGAATAACACCGTTGTTCAGAAAAGGAGAGAACTGATGTAGTTTGTCTTTGTTGTCAACTTGCTGCTTGGTTCGTAGTTGATGGTAGAAGTCAGCAAAGTTTTCTTACTGGGATGGTTGACAAAGGACAGGTTTGGCCTTTTCCAGGTCTTTCATATTAACTTGACGTTTCCCGTTTCCCTTCAAGCCATCGACAAAAACTATAACACGAGCTGTGATACGAACTAATCAAAACGAGTTTGAAAACCCGGAAGAATCGATTAGTGGCGTAGTTGGGTGGCTAACTGTTGTAGCATTACTTTATTCAATTGTGTCGTTGATGCCCCAAATAGACTCACTGTTCAGTTAAAATTGTGGTGAAAGAAACCAGAGCGTTGTAACGTCATTAAGTTTAACTCCACGTGTAGCGCTCTCAGCTCGGTTGAGTTTACCAGGGATGTGTTTCCATTGTTCGACTTTGGAATAAGTAAGTAGTTCGCCAACTCTGTTTAAGCAGTAAGATTTCAGTTTACCGGGCAATGCAATCCAGGAGGACAAAACAGTTCTTTTATCTGTTCAAAAGTGAGTCGAGTGGGGCTTAAATCGTTTTTTTTTCAGTAGCCAACTTGCACAGCCGTGCTCCCATAAGGGCGACTTGTAAATTAAGTAAATTCGAAATGCTCTCTTGGATCACTGCTGTCACCATTGTTCTGCCAATCAAAATATTGGCGTGCATGCCAGAGCTGCCTGCAGTTCGGAAGTAGATACACTTAGACATTCCGTCTTGCAACATGTCGCAGAAAATATGTCGCACTAGGTGACAGTTGTGGTCCAAGTAAGCGCGGCTGCCTCATAGGGGTGCTTATTTGCCTTGTTCAACCTATTTTTCAAATATCGGAACAAATTCACTGGGCACAGGTCCATCCCAGGAATTACCAGACTTGTAGAAGAATCTAAAGTTTTATGACAAACGGCGCTAGAATACCTAGTGGGTCCACAAAACCGTTGCTACTGTAGAGAGGACTGCTCGGAGTGTAGAGTTGTAGTATTAGTTACCTTGGTTCTTGATTGTACGAAAAACGTATCATCAGTTGTGTCCCCCTTGACGCTAGACCCGATGCGCTGTAGGATTAGTAAATTTTTCGCCTCCAGCAATGGAATAGATGGCGTCATGAGTGTTAGATACGAACTTTGTTAGGTTGTACCCCCCCTGTCTTAGGGAAGGTTTTAGTTGCGTAGTACAGACTCTAGCCTTGTTTGTAGTGCTGAATTACTGAACAAAATCGTCAAATAAAAGCTTTTATGAAGTAGTTCAGCAATATTGGGCTTGGTTACGCAGTAATTAGCAGTTTATTGCAAAAGAAAGCGCAAAGATGACAATGAATGATGACCATTTTGAACTAAAGATAAGTCGGGTGTAATGGTACTTCTTCATATCTTTTTTGGTAGGCCAAAAGAAGCAAAGCGCAATTCGATCTTCATCTTTGATAAATATTTGCATGAACATGCCTTCAGAATCTACCGATATGGCCACAGGTTTTTTCGAAATAAAAGAAGAAGGCAAAACAAGTTGTTTAACAGATTGGGTCCAGTTTCACGCTGTGAACCTTCCCGGGCTTGCTTAGATTACTCACAGGGTGATGTGGGAGGTATCAAAGTAATTCCGGCTGTGGGTACTGAAAAATGACAGATTTGACGTAGTTATTTTCCAAATCAGTTGTAAGCAACTTCTCATAAAATTCCATGGTTTTAGGGTAATTTTTGAGCCATTTTTGTAATGATTGCAATTGAGCTATATCTACCGGATAGTTGTTGGAGGTTTCCACTTCGCTTTTCCAGCGTAGATTTGTTTTGTAGCGAACTCTGTCGTGCTCAATGCTTTGTTCCATAAACCTCAGTTGCCGTTTGCTTTTATCAGAAAATGTAGCATTGATATCTTCGTGGAAGCCTGTTCCTTCCATTTTCCAGATTTTTTCCACTATTTAAGTGAGTGTAGCGTCATCTTGACTGCTTATGTCAAGGAAGTTAGTTGATAATCAG